ACAGACGGTGACGTCGGCTGAATCCTCGTCACCGCTCGGGACGGTTGAGATTGCTGCGGTCGTGGCTGGAGCGTCGAGGCGACAGGGAGTACCCTTGAACGAAGAGACTGCGCCGACTACCGCTGAGTCCGCCGGAACGTCTGTTGCTGGCGTGGCCGCAAACAGGCAGGGGCATGGCCGGGCGGAGAGCGATAGACTGGGTCCCGGGACTGGCGCCGTTGCTTGCGCCGCTCGCGGGAAGACGGGGAAGAAGCTCCGCGCCCAGCCAGCGCCGAGACGGCCCGGAGCAGGGCTGGGACCTGGCGTCCCGGGACCCCTCATGGGCTGGCTTCTGCAAGGGCAACCACCACCAGCGCAAGGGCATCCACCTCCATCTGGAGGACGAGGCACGGGAGAAAACGCGGGAGACACAGAAGTCAGGCAGGCGGAATCTCGACCACATCTGACGCCTAACAACACGCCACGAGAGGCAAGAGCCGCAACGATTGGACTGCCACAAGATACACCACAGCGGGAAACTCGGAGCTCGACACGAGCACAAGGCTTTACGTGGGGCCGACCGAGGGAAGTTCAACCGAGTCAAGCACACACACCGTGGATCCCGGCGGGGAGGGCGCCGCAGGTCGGGCAGGGCGGACGGATCAACGAGACGCAAGCACGGGGAGGAGGAAGGGGAGCAAGGGGCGGACGGGGGGGTGCGATCGTGGGCGGAAGAGAGGTGGTAGTGAGATTGGGAACGTGGCGGGAACGCCACGAACGCCCAGAACAGGTGGTCCCAGCAGCGAATCAAGAGGCGGCAGGCTCTGACGATGCAAACACGGGAGGCGAATATGAACCATCCGAGGAACACGCCTCGGAAGAGTGCTCCCTGGAAGATGAGATGTATGAGAGGACAAGGGAGGCTCGGAGAAGGGAGGATGCAGGAACGAGGACGAGGAGGAGAAACCAACCTGCGGTGCCAATCGTACCAGGCCCGGCAGCTGGGGGAGTCCCTGAACCAAGTGCTCGCTCACCATCCGACCTGGCAGGAGATGACTCCATCTGACAGCAAGCGGCCACGTGGGACCCAGCACAACTGCAACGTGGGGACCAACCCTTTCTGGTCCGCCGACTTCCACCTCAGGTGTTGGATTCATATACACTCTGCATCCTGGCCCCACTTCTGCGACTCGAGAAAAATCCAGACTGTCCAGGTGCCTGGATGGTTCTCCAATTTCTGCCGTGGCTGACCCTCCACCCACCACCCAAACCAGTTGAGGGGAGCAGATAGAAGGAAATTGAAGAACGCCTGCACCAATTCCAACTGGGCAGGTGGCAGGATCTTTTGTCGGAGGCGTGTGTCATCCCCGACAATGGAGATGCGATAAGGCACCAGGCAGATGACACGGGGTTGTGTGCTAGAGCGGAAGGGTTGGTTAAAAAAGGGAACATTTCAAAGGCGGTAGCCGCGTTACATACGACGCCACTCGCAGAAGCGAACGCGGATACCCTCGCAACCATGCAAGTGAAACACCCGGAGGCAAGCTCGCCACTCCCCGGTTTGGTAACCGGACATACACATGCGACAATCAGAGTGACGGCTGATGACCTCCGCGATATCCTCGCGAAATGCCCGAATGGCGTGGGAGCTGGCCCGTCAGGAACCTGTTTTGAACACCTCAAAGACCCTGCCCACGCCAAGGAGGAAGTACTGATTCTCCTTGCTAAGGCAGTGAGCTACCTACTTAGTACGTGCCAGACACAGGCGGTTGATAGCGTTGGAGAAACAGGGAGGAGGAGTGTGTCCAATTGCGATAGGAGAGACCATCCTTCGGATCGCGGTGAAAGCAGCACTTAGGGAGTTTTCGCAAAACATCCGCGACTTCTTCCTTCCCGTGCAGTTTGGCGTCGCGGTTACGGGAGGTGCGGAATGCATCATCCACTCCGTACGATCACTCCTAAATGACGACGACACACGGATTGCGCTGCAGCTAGATATCGAAAACGCATTCAATAGCGTGGAACAGTCGGCCTTTTTCATGTCGTTGTCACAGTCTAGCCTGCTACCGCTCCTGCCGTTCGTTCGCACTCTCTATGGAGGACCCTCGCGACTCCTAGTGGATCGCCGGCTTGGCGTCGAACACATCAACAGTACCAGGGGAGTACGCCAAGGGGACCCATTGGGACCTCTCCTCTTCACAGCCGCGATCCAACCAACACTCCTGGAAGCCGCGACGTTTTACCCGGAGGTAGCAATAGTAGCCTATGCAGACGACATCACGATTGTGGGCCCCCGAGAAGCTGCTTACGAGGCGTTCAACAACATCATGGTGGGACTGAGTCTGCTGGGGCTGCGTTGTAACATCAACAAGTTGTCAGCTTGGGACAGGAACATGGAAGAAGAGAGCAGCACAGCACCACCACAGGGACTGCCAATGAATGCGGATGGCATACAGGTCCTGGGCAGTCCAATTGGCTCGGCAGCATTCTGTGCAGATCGGGCCCAGACACGACTCAACGAGGCAGCGACAACACTACCGCTTATTGCACAGATGCACCCCCAGCACGCTATGCTGATTCTCTCGAGAAGCATCTCACGCAAAATATCGTACCTGCTTCGGACTACACCGGCGGAGACCTTGGAGAGGGAGGGATGGAGGAGGTGGAGCGAGACCCTACTGGAGGCGGCACTCACGGCGGCAAAGCTGAGGATCCCAGCGAGTGAGCTAGAGCAGAGTTTGCTCTGGCGCCAAGGCACACAGCCGGTCAGACTTGGGGGGCTTGGCATCATTGACCCCACCTCGGAAGCACCGGCTGCATACATCGCCTCGGTGACGGCAGCCCAGCAGTTATTGCGCCTGATGAACCTGCAAGACTCCTACCTCCTGAACAGAGCGGTCACCCTCCTGGACTATGCATGGACCCCAGACCCCCCAAAGGTCAACCAGTTGCTGGCCCTTGAGACAAGCCTCCCCACAGCGGCACAGACAGCACTGCAAGAGCACAGGGAGCGACCGATGAGGCTGGGAAACCTGCAGCAGACACTAAGCCGGCACATCAACGAGAGGCGTGCGGCAGAGCTGCTGGCAGATACAATCCAGGACAGACCGGGAACATATAGGGGACATGCTGTCCGCCTCATCAGCCTACAGGGAGTGGGAGCAGGGGACTGGCTACATGCTGTGCCAACCAGAACTGACCTTACATTTGCCCCTGGTCAGTTCTCGTTGGCACTGGGATTCCGCCTAGGCATGAGGCTACCAGTCACAGTGAAGTGCCCCTGCAAGCGTGACAACTCAGACATCACAGACACGAGCCTCCCGAATCATCTCCTACGTTGCGGGGAAGGTGGGGAGGTGGTCAGAACACACAACGCTCTAGTTTACGCTGCACTCAGGATGGCAAAGGAAGCTGACTTCACCGTCTTCCACGAGACAACTGCCTTCTCCCCCCCGGTCATCAGGAAGAGAGGAGACCTGGCCATTCGAGACAAGGAATCCAATGAAACATGGGTGACCGATGTGACAGTAACGGACCCCGTACTACAACGACAAGACACAAGGGCAAGGAAACCACCCGGGTGGGCAGCTAGGGAGGCGTCTGAGGGAAAGCACAGAATCTACGAGGGCAGGCCTGATATGTAGGTTTCTTTGGGCTGGCGGTAGAGACCTACGGTGCCTTGGCGACGGACACACAACAGTTTCTGCGCCTGCTTGCAACATCAGCGGCAAAGAAGAAATTCCGCCAAGGCAGGCTCACCACAACAACAGCCAGGCTCACAGCACACTACAGACAGCGATGGTCTGTCATGCTGCAGCGCTCTCAGGCCACTTCCTTCCTGAACAAGTCAAACCTAGGGGACGAGGCAGCTTTCATCCAGGCAGGAAAGGACCCATGGGAGCCAAGCCTCAGGGACCTTTGGCAGGTCCTAGAGGACGACATGTAGGGGGGGTTAGAGGGGTAGAGGGGGATAGACACGGCTTAGCTTCATGAGTGCAGGTCTGCCTACCTGCTGGGCCTGCTATTCGTGGCTTTGCTTGCTCTTGCCATGCCCGGCCTTGGTTGCCTGCCTTGCTCTCCTTGCCTGCCCTGCCTTGTTCTTCTTGTCTGTTTGCAGATGTCCTGCCCGCCGCATGTACCTGCCTTGCATGTTGGGTTTCTTCAATGCCTAGGCCTGTCTAGCACCTATCCCTGCCTTGCTTGTACCCCTATGAACCTATCAACGAAGGACTGCTTGAGAGAGAGAGAGAGAGAGAGAGAGAGAGAGAGAGAGAGAGAGAGAGAGAGAGAGAGAGAGAGAGAGAGAGAGAGGATCCTAGCCTCTGCCCTCTCCCTTTGCCCTCTGCCCTCTCCCCTTTTGAGCTATATAAGGGGCCTCTCAGGGCCTCTTCTCTTCATTATTCTGTTTGGTGGCAGAAATTGTTCCTCGTTCGTTCGAGAGAGCGAGAGAGAGAGAGAGGATCCTAGCCTCTGCCCTCTCCCTTTGCCCTCTGCCCTCTCCCCTTTTGAGCTATATAAGGGGCCTCTCAGGGCCTCTTCTCTTCATTATTCTGTTTGGTGGCAGAAATGTTTCCTCGTTCGTTCGAGAGAGCGAGAGAGAGAGAGAGAGGATCCTAGCCTCTGCCCTCTCCCTTTGCCCTCTGCCCTCTCCCCTTTTGAGCTATATAAGGGGCCTCTCAGGGCCTCTTCTCTTCATTATTCTGTTTGGTGGCAGAAATGTTTCCTCGTTCGTTCGAGAGAGCGAGAGAGAGAGAGAGAGGATCCTAGCCTCTGCCCTCTCCCTTTGCCCTCTGCCCTCTCCCCTTTTGAGCTATATAAGGGGCCTCTCAGGGCCTCTTCTCTTCATTATTCTGTTTGGTGGCAGAATTTTTTCCTCGCGCCGGCCGCCTTCGGCCGCGCGTGAGGGAACGGCAAGGGAGAAAGAGACAAACTACTATCATCCAGGACATACAAGCAATGGCATCACCTACATCCGTCTAGGACAACACAAGGCAACACCATGGAGCGGGAAGAGGCGGATGCTACATCTGATCCGCGTCAAGGACGGCGAGAAGACCCGTCAGAGAACGATGAAGCTCGCGCACCACCACTGTGGTTGCGCCGATCAAGTCGACTACAGTCCCTGCGCGCAAGAACCGGCGCAGACCACGGACTGCCGTCCCAAGCTGTCCAACGCCCGCAACACCACCCTGCGCGGGCGCAGCCAACACGGGCGCCAGGAGCTCGCCCAGCCGATCAGCGGCATCCAAGCACTCGTCCCGAGGGGGGCCATCCAGAGGAACACCCTGGGAGAGAGCCGCGTGACCATACACCTGAATCAGGTGAACTGCCCGCAGGCCCTCAGAGAAGCGCCACAACTACCCCAGAGACGCCTCCGGCACCACGGCTGATGGAAATGGCCCCACCAGAGTCTGCTGAGATAGCGCAGCAGCAGGAGGAGGAGGAGCCACGGGCAGAAGAGACGGATAAGGAGCAGGGAGAGCAGGAGGACGAGGGGCAACTGCCGGAGGTGCAGCTGCAGGAGGTACAACAGGAGGAGGAGCGGCAGACGCACGTGGGTACCGCTGGTTCGCCTGAAAGGCCCTCTCCTCGCGCATCGCAGCTGTTACGACCCGCTGCAAGTCCGCCATCATCACCGGCGCATCAAACGCCCCGCCACGTCCACGACCATGACCTCCCCTCCAGCCCCCTCGCCCGCCCCGTCGTGCGTGCCAGTTCCCGCCTGTTGAGCGGCGCTGAGGTGACTCCTGCCGACGGCGCGACGACTCCCGCTCATCCTGCGGGAAGGGCGAATGGGGTCGTGATGGGCGGCGATCGGGGGACTGAGGACGACATGGTTGTCCAGACGGAACCACCGGAGGCGCCGCAGGCGCAGACTGAACAGCCTCGGCATGCACCACCGCCGGGGCCTGGCCGCCAGTGGTGGCGGACACCGCCGCTAGCACCAAGTCGCCGCCAAGAGCAGCAAGGGCAGCGGCGGCAATTGGAGCGGCATGTCAGATTTATATGACATAGCTACTGTAGGCTATAGTGGGGTAGCACATATGGGGTACAGTTTTCTAGGGTTTACATTTGTACCCAACATTCCCTTAGTCAATTCATCCTCGTTCAGTTTCTCATGGTATCGAGCAAGTTCCCCTGTGGGAACTGTTCCTAGGGCCCACCACATTTTTTTTCCTGCCCGGAGCGCGCTCTCCACTGCCCGAGTCGCGCTCCCCTCTCTCGACCCTGTCGCGCCGCCTTAGCGGCCCCGTCGCGTCGCGCTTGCGGCCCCGTCGCGTCGCCCTCGCGGCCCCTTCACGTCGCGCCGCCCTAGCGGCCGCGTCGCGCCGCCCTCGCGGCCCCGATCCGCCGCCTTCGCGGCTCCTTCGTGTCGCGCCGCCCTCGCGGCCCTTTCACGCCGCCCTCGCGGCCCTTTCTAGCCGCCCTCGTGGCCTCTTCAAGCCGCCCTCGCGACCCCTCCCCTCCTAGCCGCCCTCGCGGCCCCGTCGCCTACCCCTGCGGCCCCGGCGCCGCCCTTCCCTGCCTCGGCGCCGCCTCTGCTGGCCCCGTCGCCTACCCCTGCGGCCCCGGAGCTGCCCTTCCCGGCCCCGGCGCCGCCTCTACTGGCCCCGACGCCGCTCCACCCAGCCTCGCCGCCGCTCCACCCGGCCCCGCCGCCGTCCCCACGCGGCCCCGCCATCACCACCGAGCCGCCGGCGCCGCCGAGCTACTGCCGAGCCGCCCGATCCACCCGAGCCGCCCGAGCCGCCGCGCCACCTGAGCCGCCCGAGCCGCCGGGTCGCCGAGCCGCCGAGCTGCAGTTGCTGCCGCACCGCCGTACCGCCGAGCCGCCCGAGCTGCCCGAGTCGCCGAGTCGCCGAGCCGCAGTTGCTGCCGAGCCGCCGTACCGCCGAGCCGCCCGAGCCGCCCGAGCCGCCGAGTTGCCGACCCGCCGAGCCGCCGAGCCGCCCGAGCCGCCCTGTCCGGTAAGAGCAGCGCCTCTGTCACTGCACTGCCCTTACCCTACTGTTCGCGCTGCTAGTCTACTGCTGTCATGGCTACCCCTAGTGTCCTCGCTTTTGACGCTGAGGGTCGGGCCATTGACTTTGACGTCTGGGTAGATGACCTGCAGCTTTTCCTACAGTGCGATAGGGCAGACGGTCTCTCCCTCTTTGACCTCACCTCTGGTGCCTCTCCTGCCCCTGCTGCTGATGCCGACGCCACTGTTCGCTCACAGTGGGCCACACGCGATGCTGCTGCACGTCTTGCTGTGCGTCACCACCTGCCTACCTCTGAGCGTGCGCACTTTAGCCAGTACAAGAGTGCTCACACCTTGTACGACGCTGTAGTTGCGCGCTACTCCTCCCCTGCCACTACTGCACTGAGCCGCCTCATGCTACCGTACCTCTTCCCTGACCTTGCTGCCTTTCCCACAGTCGCTGACCTCATTACGCACCTCCGCACTAGTGACACTCGCTACCGCGCTGCGCTTCCTGCTGAATTCTGCGCCAAGAACCCCCCCCCCATGTACATCACCCTCTACTACATAGTCACCCGGCTCCCTGACTCCCTTCGCGTAGTCAGGGACCACTTCCTCTCAGTTTGCCCCACCACTCTCACCGTTGACCTCCTCGAGAAGGCCCTCCTAGCAGCAGAGAAGAGCATAGTCGCTGTAGGAGCCTCTCGTGGTGACCCTCGCACCCCTGTCTTTGAGGGGTGTTCCCCCTCCCCCCTTTTGCCCTCTGTTGCCTCTGCTGCTGCGGCCGACCTCGTTGGTTTCGAGTCGGTCGGCGCTGCGTCTGCCCCGAGCGGGAGACGCCGCACCGGCAAGGGCAAGGGGGGCAAGGGTGCTGGAGGGGTTGGCGGGGGTGGCGGAGGTGGCGGTGGAGGCAGTGGAGGGGGTGGGGGTGGTGGTGGGAGTGGTGGCGGGGGTGGAGGTGTCGGTGGCGGCAGTGGAGGCGGAGGCGGTGGCGGCGGTGGCGGAGGAGGTGGAGTTGGTCGGGGTGGCGCTGCGCAGAGGGTCGGCTCCGGTGGTGGTCAGCGCCAGCAGCGGCAGCAGCGCACTCGTGACATCCCCCCCCCTCAGCAGCTCCGTGAGTGGTACGCTGCACGCCAGCGGGGTGGGGGTACTGGTCCGTGCACGTACGTCCTACGCACCGGCGACCGCGCGGGTGAGCAGTGCGGGGGTGCGCACTCCACCCAGCGCTGCTTTGGCCGCCTGACGGACGCTTGGTGTCACCAGTTCCCTGAGGCCACTGAGATCCCCCGCTGGGGCGAGCTGTCTAGGGCGGGTGTAGCTGTCTTTGACCTTGACTTTGATGCTATTCTTGCTGCCATGTATGCTGTGACTATTAGTGATGAGGGTGACTGTTACCGGTGTTTTCCGCCCGACCCGAGCATTGAGACTGCTGCTCTAGGTACTGGTGAGGTTGCTGCTCTAGGTGCTAGCGAGGCGGCTGCTCTAGGTGCTCGTGTGTCTGCTCCCTCAGGTGCTGGTGAGTCTGCTCTCTCAGGTACTGCGTCGGCTTCGGCCTCCCACACCTTCACCCTTGACTCGGGGGCTTCTCGCTCCTTCTTTCGAGACCGCACCACACTCACGCCGCTTGGCCGGCCAGTTGCAGTCTCTCTGGCAGACCCCTCTGGGGGTCCTGTCCTTGCTCACTTCTCCACTGTCCTCCCGTGTCCGGCGGCCCCCTCTGGCACCCTGTCTGGTCTTTACCTCCCCTCGTTCTCTACGAACTTGGTGAGTGGTGCTGACCTACAGGATGCGGGGGTTCACCAGTTCACTCCTGCGAGTCAGCGGGTGACCCACTGCACGGATGCTCGGACAGGCCGACACCTGGCCACATTTACACGTCGGCCGGGGTCGAGCCTGTACACACTGACCACTGCGTCTCCTCCAGTCACTGCGTCTGGTAAGGTAGCTGCGTCGGGTCAGGTGTTTGCTGCAGCGTCCAGGTCTGGTCCTGAGTCTGCCCCCTGTTCGTGTCGCCTCCTGTCGCACGAGACTCTCCTCTGGCACCACCGCCTTGGTCACCCCTCCCTGCTTCGTCTCCGAGGCATGGCCTCCCGTGTCCTTGTCTCTGGTCTTCCCCGGTCCCTCCCTCCCCTTCCTCCGGGGCCAGGCCCTACCTGCGTCCCTTGTGTCGAGGGGCGGCAGCGGGCTGCCCCTCACTCCTCCCAGTTTCCTCCGACAGAGGCCCCGCTGCAGACGCTTCACATGGACGTGTGGGGCCCGGCCCGCGTCCGTGGACAGGGTCACGAGCGCTACTTCCTGCTGGTGGTTGACGACTACTCGCGTTACACCACAGTCTTCCCCTTGCGCAGCAAGGGTGATGTCACTGAGGTGTTGATCGACTGGATCCGCGCAGCTCGTCTCCAGCTCAGGCAGAGCTTCGGCTCGGACTTTCCTGTTCTGCGTCTGCACTCTGACAGAGGTGGAGAGTTCTCCTCTGGCCTTCTGCGAGCCTACTGTCGTGCACGAGGCATCCGCCAGACCTTCACGCTTCCGGACTCTCCACAGCAAAATGGGATTGTTGAGCGCCGCATTGGCATGGTCATGGACGTCGCCCGTACGTCCATGATGCATGCGGCTGCCCCCCATTTTCTGTGGCCGTTTGCGGTTCGGTACGCGGCGCATCAGATCAACCTTCACCCCAGGGTATCCATGCCGGAGACCTCCCCAGCTTTGCTGTGGACGGGGAAGGTTGGCGATGCGTCTGCGTTCCGTGTCTGGGGATCTCGGGCGTTTGTCCGCGACTTGTCTGCGGACAAGCTGTCCCCTCGTGCTGCTCCTTGCGTCTTCCTTGGCTTCCCCCCTGACGCGCCAGGGTGGCAGTTCTACCACCCCACCTCTCGCCGTGTTCTGTCCTCCCAGGACGTCACGTTTGACGAGTCGGTCCCCTACTACCGCCTCTTCCCCTACCGCACTCCGTCCCTCCCCCCGCCACCGCTCTTCCTTGTGCCAGGTCCCCCCCCGGTAGACCCCCTCCCCCCTCAGGGTCCTGCCCCTTCAGGTGTGTCCCAGGTAGACGCAGTCGAGCCTGTCGAGGTTACTGGTGACTCTGGTGCTGCTGAGGGTGCTGAGCCTGGGGGTGCTGACTCTGGGGATGCTGAGCGTGTGGGTGCTACGCCTGGGGGTGCTGAGCCTGAGGGTGCTACTACTGGGGGTCCTGAGCCTGGGGGTGCTGAGCCTGGGGGTGCTACTACTGGGGGTGCTGAGCCTGGGGGTGCTGAGCCTGGGGGTGCTACGCCTGGAGGTGCTGAGCCTGGGGGTGCGGAGCCTGAGGGAGCTGGGCCTGCTCGTGTGGCGTCTGGCGGTGCTGAGCCTGGAGGTTCTCCGGGTGCTTCGTCTCGGCGGGAGCCACTCTCTCCACAGGAGCTGCGCGAGTGGTTTGCCCGGCGCTGGAGGCGTGCTGCTGGAGCTGGAGGTTCTTCGGCTGCTGAGGGTGCTGGTGCCGCGGGTCCCGGAGGTGCTCGTACTGGGAGTACTGGAGCTGCTGGGCCTGCGGGTACGACTGGAGCTGGAGCTGCTGAGGGTGTTGACGCTGAGGCTACTGCTGTCGGTCCTGGAGGCGGTCCTGCTGGGGGTGCTACTGGAGCTGCTGGAGGTACTGGAGCTGGAGGTGCTGCTGGCGCTGGTGCTGCC